TATTGGTTGCTTCTTCACAAATATATATATATACCTAATGGCGGGAAAATATACATGACATTTACTTGGTTGATAATTTAATCACGACCTTTAAATTTTGACAAATAAATACATGACTTTTACATTCTTTGCAACTCGATACACGAACTTAACGTCCACCAACGAAAAATTGACGTGACAATTTTTTTAACGGTCACGTCACCGAGAAGTCTGACTCAGCAAACAGAAGTCAAATTATCAGAGAATAATTACTTTTATAGATAACTTCAACATAATTATATTAAATTAGAATGGTGTTCAATATTACTCAATTATTCATGAATTAATTAATCATTTATGCACCCTACATTCTAAATTCCTATAAGATTTATATTAAGTTAATGTTAAGCGAGTGCAGCCATTGATGGGTCTCTTCTCAGATCTGGAACGGTCCAGTGGGAAAACGTCCGGATCTGGGACGAACCGGTGTGAATGAGCTTAGATCTGATGTGATGGAGTTCGAACCGTTGTTGAGCCGCAAGAACACCTGCAAGAACTCAACGCCGGAGGGGTTTCCGGCGTAGAGCCTCCGACGCTCAAGTCAATATATGAGGGGGATGATGGGAGCTGCTATGAGAGCAGCAGCAGTAATGAAAAGGGTATGGATTGAATGGGAGTTAGGGTTTTGGGATTACCTCAGTCCTTTATATAGAAGTGTAATATTTACCTGAAGTCCCCAAAGTGCCCCGGCCGACTCAATGGAAATGTCCAGAATACCCCGGTCGGTTTGCATTCTGCCCACTTCCTAGTCAGCATCTAGATCCTTCCTTAGTTTCCTTCTTATCCTTAACTCTTCTTCAATATGCTGAGGTGTGTCAAAGCTATCGGGAACCACGAACTGCAAGACTCCTTCAGTCGACTTGAGGTATTGAGTCGAGTCGAATGGATCGCACCCCACCGTTAGTGGATCCTGATACGTCTGATCGCTGTCTTGCCAGAGGTCGACTTGTTCTAGTCGACAGGTGTACGTCGACTCAGTCGGGAACCGGGCTTCTTGATTGAGTACCGTGGAACCCTACTGGCGGAGTCGACTGTGTTGACATCGACTTAGCAGCTTCGAACCGAGATGATATGAACCGTTACTCGGCAGTATGGCTATATCACAAATGGTATAAGAGCACGTTTCTGCGTCTCTGAAAAGATTTTCAGTCAGTAATTTTCAGAAAAACCTGAACCGTCACGCTCACGCCTCGCCGACTAAATGTAAGTGCTGATTTATGTTTTCAGTTATAAACATATTACTTTGCCTATGCTCAGAAATTATGGATCAGGACTTAGTTAAGATGCTCGAATCAGGATCAGACTTTAGAATTCAGTATATTCAGATATGACTCTAGAATTCAGTATCTTCCGATATGACTCTAAAGTTCCTCAGGATTCATGTCAATATTTATCGGCCATTTTTGGCAACTCGTCAAGAGATTTGTATGCTTTAGTAACCAGTCAGAGTACTATTCACGTATTCAATAATGTTGAACTTTCTCAATATTCAGATGTCGCCCTGTAGGGAACTTGATTACCCGGTTCCTACTCTGGCCACAGTAGTCACACAGTTCCGCGACTATCATGTTGAGAAATTCTCCGGGCAGGGAGATCCCCGTATCGTGGACGAGTGAATTCAGAACCTTAGAAAGGGATTAAGTTTGAGAACTCTAGATTCAATTCTAGATTTATACAAGTCAAGTTAGCAACTGGTCAGGAGATCTGTAAACACTTGTGTTAAACAAATCTTAATAAATCATGTTTCTCAAATATTTCTATAGAAAACTGCCATTTTGCCAATCAATTGGCAGATTTCAGGGAGAAATTCCTTGATTCAATTCGAGGAATAGACTCAAATTTCCTAAGTAAGATCAGTAAATCATGTTCAAGGTAAAAATTTTCATGTTAAAGGTTGTTATAATTCTCAAGTCATTGTTAAGGTAACGGTTTCCAGTGTATAAGAGTCAATAGTCTGGGTTACCATGGAGGCTTGAAATAAGAGCCATTTAGCCGGGTATACCATGGAGACTTGAAGCTGAAACCGGAGTAATATGATTTCAGGTAATAACAACCTTTCAAGTCAGTCATGTCAGATATTTTATCAGTCATGATATTTTAAGTTATGATTTTCAAAGATCAAGATCAGCTAATTACTTTGTACTTGCGGGACCAATGGATACTGGAGCAGCCCTATATAGTACAGAGTTATAAATTCATGTCCACGATTTACATTCTATATTCATGATGTAAGGTCGACGTATAATAGTTGTTCAGCCGGGTTAAATATGGCGGTCTGATATACAGACCATTAGTCCAAATTTACCTGAAAACTTGAAGTCGCACCTTATCAAGTTAAGTGAATCAGTAAATGTCATGTTCCAAATTCCGAAGCGACTATTAAGTTATCTCTGGGTAGCTTTCAGCGTTCATACAAATATGATCCAGTCATGTCAAGTCACGGTTATCCAGTTATGAGAATATTCAGGCAAGTTATGCCAAAGTCAAAGATAGCTTGTCTAATAAGACAAGACGTATCAGTTATTTCAGGTATAATCAGTGCCTCGATTCTCAAATTTTGAAAAATTTGGGAAATCGTAGGAAAGATTAGTTCACGATAGACTTTTCTTGAGGTTAAATTAATCCTCTGGGAAGGTAAAGATTTGCAGGTACAATGCGAGGAAGAAGCGCCAAACGACAGCAACAGACCATGCCATGATGAACAACTGACGCTTCCCATTCAAAGACGCATGACACAAGGAAGGAAGGATGCCATGTCCAAGATACAGTACACAGGAGATTACAGAGAGTTAGCATTATAGTACATTGAGGTTACTAGCTTAAGGTACAGATACGATCAGACTACGTCGACGACGCAGGTGCAATGTTTGCCAGGTGCTGTATGCAGGCGTGCCGCACTCACTTGATGAGGAGCAGGTGTGCCGCATTACAATGTGCCGCGAACGATGTGCCGCGTTGTCGAGCAGACATTCATGAAAGGTAATTACCAATATAGCTAGTTATCCTCATTTATACATATGCTTATCTCTGGAATCTTCCGTGTGTACCAACGACTGGAGTTTTTACAACCAGCGTTCAGACTGGAGATCAGCAGGCAGCCAGGAGATGATGACCAGTACGCTCCAGAATTTCGTTTTAAAATCATGTCTTATCAGTGGAACACTTTATTTCCGAAAAGTGTCCCTTCTTAGTCAGCAGTATTCCACAATTCACATCATTGTGAATTGATGTATCTTCAGTTCAGATCAAGGCTATTATTCAGTATTAAAAGTACTGAATTTTCAAGTCATGTAATCAGTAAGTATAAGCTTTAAGTTAAGCTTGTACATTCCAGTTTTAGTATTTCCGAGGACGGAAATATTTTAAGGGGGATGGATTGTAACGCCTCGTATTTTATTAATAAAGGAAAATACTAGCTTTTAGTTAAGCTAGCCTTTGTTAATAAATAATCATGTTCATGTTCAAGTCCGAGTTAATCAGCTAGTCAGGTTCCAAGTTCGACTATCAGTCGATAAATTATTTGGTTTAATTAATTCAATAACCGAATAAGTTTCCAGATTTAATTCCGATTGATTTCATTAGTTAATGAATTCGGAATTAATTAGCTAAGTTGACGAATGAATCGGAATATCAATATTCGGATTAATCGTCCAAGTCAAGAATTCGAAATAGTTTATTATTTTGAATTAAGATATTTCAGTCGAGATTACCGGAAATTATTTTCGACGTTCCGTTTACGTCCGGAATAATTTTGGTAATTATGTAGTATGCTTAATAGTTAATTAAGCATAATAAGTGATTAAGTAACAATTAATCACGAGTTTAAGTCTAAAAGCCGTGGCTTATGTGAATTAAATCCAAATTGCCTTAAGCTCTTTCTTATCATGAAAGAAATGATTTTCCTTCTATTGGGGTATACAGTAAAGCAAACTTTTATGTGAGCTTTTGGATTGTATTTATTCGATTTCCCATTTGACTGAAATAAATGTTTTCACATTGTTGCATTCTTTATGATTGCTTGTATGCTAAATGTCCAATTATCTTATATTGTAGACAATGTGGTGTGTTAGTAGTCACACAGAAGATTACATTGTCGGTCCCTTATAAGATATAAATGGTATTCACAACTGAGATAGTTATGGACATGACTATCGGTTTACGTTGTAGTATAAACTGGATATAGCTTGTCTTGGCTATTGGTTTATACTAG